CATAAAAATTAATTTTCGAGAACAGTGCAACCAATTGGATCAGCTTCACAGAAACTGTTTTCTCAAATGTCAATGACAAATCTTTGTCTATCAACTGAATATAAACTTTTTATGGTCTAATTTCAACTTAGAGTTTTGTATCTAGTTTTCCTATAGAATAATACTCAATGTCTGATAACTGTTTTTTTTATACCAGACCAATGGAATTAAGTTAAAAAAACTGGTGGTTTGTCAAGGACAACTCTGGAAATTGGTTTTGTCAAAACATTGGTAATATGTACCACAAATGTGTGAATTTGTTTTGTTCAATTAGCTTAAGTGATATACAAGAACATTTTGAGATCTATGATATTACACATTAGGTGATGATATGCTCTACATATTTTAGCAATAAAATTATCATAGCACATTGTGCATTTAAGATATGGCACTTACAAATAATTGTAATAACTACGCTTTTTCTATGTCGTTAATAGAAAAATAATTACAAAAACGCACAAATTAACCATGGCATTAATTTGTCCAAAATTGTTATTGGGATAAATTTTACCAAAATAAGGACATTGACATATGCACTGCCCAATAATTCTGTTGCAGGAGCTCATGTTGTAAGTTTGTAACATTCAAAGATGGCCCCAAAGCTCTCTGTGATGATCAGTAATGAAGTAGGGAAGCAGAAGAACAGCTGTATAATGGACTTTAGTAATGAGAACTTCATTCTGCCATCTGATGTCGTAGCTCCGTGTCCTGTGGATATCTGTGGTACTGTTATTGATGTCTTTTAATCTTAAACACTAATGTCTCTAATTCATCCCTTACAGTTAGGACAGTGTCTGAGACATCATTCATCAAACACAATGATGTTTGATCTTGTCGACTAAATCACAGTATCTATGTCCTCAAGCTTTTTAAGACACACAAACTTGGCCTCATGTAGAAGTTTGCATTCTGAATTTTGATATATATTTATACAGGCTTTTAAAACATCTTCTTCATGAGATTTTAACTGTTACCTGAAATCAAAACTACATAAACCAACATCCTAAAGTTATCATTTCTTTATTTTCAAATATTTCAAAAGAAAAAAATTGGACTTTTCTAAATAAATGAAAAATTTGAATTATCAAACAGAAAGTTGATATTGTGAGAGGGCAGGTTCTTTTTTTTTTTCATTTTTTCGTTGCTATTTTTGATTTTAAGGATTTAATAATAAAAAAACATGTACAAAATAAAACAAAAAAAAAGAAAAAAGAAAAAGGATATAGTATAAAACACTATAAAAAAACCACCATTCTCTGTTTCATTATTTGCATGATACAATACATTTTTCTTGCTTTATTCTGCAGAAGTTTCAAAAAATTAGCCAAGCATTAACAGATTTTCTATTGTATAGTTAAAAAAAATGTCTGCTGATATTAAGTTCTGACAGCAAATCAATAATCTCCATGTGTTGATTGGAGTATTTTTATTCACTTGATCAAGATATAATTCCACACAGATCGAGACCCTGATGTGTTTCCGTTACACACAGTATTAACTGAAGTTTGGTGACATTTCCATACCAAGAAGTTTCCTCTTTACCTAATCCATTAGTTGAATTTTTCACTGGTCTTGTTTCCTACCAGTTTACTGCTTTCTGCTATTTAGTTGTTTTAGTGGTGATCAACTGCCTTAAATGGGTATTTACAAGTTGTATCAGTAACTTTCATTATTTCTGATAATTTCCAGTACATACATTTTCAGATCAAATACAATGTTACAATGTCACACATCCAATACAATGTTACACTGTCACAGACCCAATACAATGTTACAATGTCACAGACCCAATACAATGTTAGTGTTACATACCCAATACAATGTTAGTGTCACAGACCCAATACAATGTTACACTGTCACAGACCCAATACAATGTTACAATGTCACAGACCCAATACAATGTTAGTGTTACATACCCAATACAATGTTAGTGTCACAGACCCAATACAATGTTACAATGTCACAGACCCAATACAATGTCACAGACCCAATACAATGTTAGTGTCAAAGATCCAATACAATGTTAGTGTCACAGACCCAATACAATGTTACAGTGTCACAGACCCAATACAATGTCACAGACCCAATACAATGTTACAATGTCACAGACCCAATACAATGCTAGTGGCACAGACCCAATACAATGTTAGTGTTACAGACCCAATACAATGTTACAATGTCACAGACCCAATACAATGTCACAGACCCAATACAATGTTAGTGGCACAGACCCAATACAATGTTAGTGTTACAGACCCAATACAATGTGAGTGTCAAAGATCCAATACAATGTTAGTGTCACAGACCCAATACAATGTTACAGTGTCACAGACCCAATACAATGTCACAGACCCAATACAATGTTACAATGTCACAGACCCAATACAATGCTAGTGGCACAGACCCAATACAATGTTAGTGTTACAGACCCAATACAATGTTAGTGTCACAGACCCATTACAATGTTAGTGTCACAGACCCAATACAATGTTACAGTGTCACAGACCGAATACAATGTCACAGACCCAATACAATGTTAATGTCACAAACCCAATACAATGTTACAATGTCACAGACCCAATACAATGTCACAGACCCAATACAATGTTACAATGTCACAGACCCAATACAACGTTAGTGGCACAGACCCAATACAATGTTAGTGTTACAGACCCAATACAATGTGAGTGTCACAGATCCAATACAATGTTAGTGTCACAGACCCAATACAATGTTACAGTGTCACAGATCCAATAAAATGTTAGTGTCACAGACCCAATACAATGTTACAATGTCACAGACCCAATACAATGTTAGTGTCACAGACCCAATACAATGTTACAATGTCACAGACCGAATATAATGTTAGTGTTACAGTCCCAATCCAATGTTAGTGTCACAGACCCAATACAATGCTAGTGTTACAGACCCAATACAATGTTAGTGTTACAGACCCAATACAATGTTAGTGTCACAGACCCAATACAATGTTACAGTGTTACAGACTCAATACAATGTTAGTGTCACAGACCCAATACAATGTTACAGTGTCACAGACCCTATACAATGTTACAATGTCACAGACCCAATACCATGTTAGTGTCACAGACCCAATACAATGTTACAGTGTCATAGACCCAATACAATGTTAGTGTCACAGACCCAATAGAATGTTAGTGTCACAGACCCAATACAATGTTACAATGTCACAGACTCAATACAATGTTACAGTGTCACAGACCCATTACAATGTTAGTGTCACAGACCCAATACAATGTTACAATGTCACAGACTCAAAACAATGTTACAGTGTCACAGACCCAATACAATGTTACAATGTCACAGACCCAATACAATGTCACAGACCCAATACAATGTTACAATGTCACAGACCCAATACAATGTTAGTGTTACAGACCCAATACAATGTTACAATGTCACAGACCCAATACAATGTTACAGTGTCACAGACCCAATACAATGTTACAATGTCACAGACCCAATACAATGTTACAATGTCACAGACCCAATACAATGTTAGTGTTACAGACCCAATACAATGTTACAATGTCATAGACCCAATACAATGTTACAATGTCACAATACAATGTTAGTGTCACAGACCCAATACAATGTTACAGTGTCACAGACCCAATACAATGTTACAATGTCACAGACCCAATACAATGTTACAATGTCACAGACCCAATACAATGTTAGTGTTACAGACCCAATACAATGTTACAATGTCATAGACCCAATACAATGTTACAATGTCACAATACAATGTTAGTGTCACAGACCCAATACAATGTTACAGTGTCACAGACCCAATACAATGTTAGTGTCACAGACCCAATAGAATGTTAGTGTCACAGACCCAATACAATGTTACAATGTCACAAACCCAATACAATGTTAGTGTTACAGACCCAATACAATGTTAGTATCACAGACCAAATAGAATGTTAGTGTCACAGACCAAATACAATGTTACAATGTCACAGACCCAATACAATGTTACAATGTCACAGACCCAATACAATGTTACAATGTCACAGACCCAATACAATGTTAGTGTCACAGACCCAATACAATGTTAGTATCACAGACCCAATACAATGTTACAATGTCACAGACCCAATACAATGTTAGTGTCACAGACCCAATACAATGTTACAATGTCACAGACCCAATACAATGTTAGTGTCACAGACCCAATACAATGTAACAGACCCTATACAATGTTAGTGTTACAGACCCAATACAATGTTAGTGTCACAGACCCAATACATTGTTACAGTGTCATAGACCCAATACAATGTAGTGTCACAGACCCAATAAAATGTTAGTGTCACAGACCCAATACAATGTTACAATGTCACAGACTCAATACAATGTTACAGTGTCACAGACCCTATACAATGTTAGTGTTACAGACCCAATACAATGTTAGTGTCACAGACCCAATACATTGTTACAGTGTCATAGACCCACTACAATGTTAGTGTCACAGACCCAATAAAATGTTAGTGCCACAGACCCAATACCATGTTACAATGTCACAGACCCAATACAATGTTAGTGTCACAGACCCACAAACTCTATTACTTAGTACTGATTATGTTACCAAACTGTGGAAAATATATCACCATTGAAAATAAATTCAATTCTAAAAAATATTTGTCTTTGTTGTTGATACATCAGTTTTTTGGATACAGCTATTCAACTGTAGTTTAAACATCTCAGTGGGAATGATTATAGATCAACATTTCAGGGTTGAGAGATGTATATTCCAAGGTTTCGAAAAAAAAGCTAAATAATGGTGTCAGACAAAAACAGATTTCATTTTCTATGTGTTTTATCTAATGACAAACAGTATCAGTGACAGACAAGGTTTAACAGCCATGACACAAACATGTGATATTCATGTTTGTTATATGGCATACAGAGGCCCTTACCATGACGATGTGCTGCTCCTACTTGAAGGACTCCTGACTTGGGATTCGGACACACTTCCGATACGTGAGGCAGCATGGAGAGGTTCTGGTTTCTCCGACGACTTGCCTTGCATCCGCTGGCGACACAGGTCCTGTGGGATATAAACGTGTGACAATGTATAGTTGAGACTGAGAGGCAGATAGTTACTGGAAAGTGCCAAAGAGAGAACGTATAACGATCCATATGTGTATGTACTACATATAACAGGACCATTCAGTCAGTTACTACATATGGTGAAGATCTCTATACGAAAAACATTACATATTATCATAAATGTTCAAAATATATCCTTGTCTATATCGTTTTCAGAATACATTAACATACATCCCAGAGATTCTGATAACCATTTTCATACATTAACTATATTGCTTTATGAGATATTTATAAAATAATTGAAATTTTTATAAATTGTTTATATTTATCATACAGATGCTTGGTATGAAAGTCTTATTTTTTTTTTTAATTTAAATATTCAAACAAATTTACTGTGTTTTTATATAGGTTTTTGGGAACTAATGGTATAGAGTTTCAACAAGCCAATACTACACATTCTCAAAGATCTCTTCATTACAGACTCAAAGTTAAATTAACAAAAAAAAAAAAAAAAAAAAACCAATTTGGCAGGTAAAATTAAGTGAGTTTAACACATCTTTGGCATCTTTCCAGCTAAAACATGTGGAACAGTGATTCTTTATATGGAATGGTGAGTAATTAAGTCAGGTTTCCAAGAGTCGGCCATGTTTTATGATGTGTTAGGGGATTGCATGTTAGCTGTCCATACAGAGAACAAATCTGCGAGATGTACACGATCAGTTTGATACCCTTCATCAGAGCAGCCAAGCATCCTTCCCCTGCGCTCTCCTGTCCCGGAGACATAGCCAACGACTCCGAGACGAGCTAAGGAATCGTACACACATGTGAAATTACAGACCATTTAATCATAGCCATGTTTGTCTCTGATCAATTTTCCTACGGAACAAGAACGAGTAATTGCATTTATTCAAAGTGAAACAAAACTCTTCATGAAATCTCAATTTCTAGGCGGATAATTTTTAAAACCTGTTTTTATAGGAATTCCGCGCACCACAGTCATGAGTTAGGGAGGTTTGTAACACGACTACAAGGCAACATTACATGTAACGGATGGGTACTTTACACACCAACGGAACAATTTTCTGTGTTACAATATCATTATTCTACCAGAGAACAAATCATGTGCAATCAAGCAAAGAAGTTTTAAGCATGGAACCATTTTACAAGAAAGCTTGATCGTCTGTTAGCTTCATATGTGTAAGACTTTTCATAAAATTTACCAAACTTGAGAGTTTTTCAGTTAAATTCTGTAATTAAAACACAAAATTCCAAAATTGAGAGTTTTCCACTAAATTATCAAATGAAGTGGAAACTATCTCTCTAACAGTGACTTTCTGATTAAAACCTAAACTATCGCTTGTTGTAGACAAAAGTCACCTACCATTAAGGTGACAGAAATCACATATTTTCAGAAGTCTTAAATTTTGTGGTTTTCCCCAAAACAATTTGCATATCAAGGGCATCACATTTAAGGGTTGAATATAAGTTTGATGAAAAGCATTGATACTAAATTTAAAAGTAATTTTTTTTAAACAATTACTGAATTTAATGCCTCATGTAGATAAAAAAACATAAGAACCCCCACCAAAATTGATGGTTTTACAGTATTTTAGTAATTCAAATGATCAAGCAGATTGATCAGGTAGTGAATATTATGGATTAAAATCAGACAGCAGATTAAGAATCTAACAGTCTGGGTCTTTTTGAGACAGAGGCTTCTTGTAGTAGATGGTGGCTACTTCCCTGAACAACATACAAGAGGCCGGTTGTATATGCCTCCTGCAGCCATAAGCTTAAAGTGTTTTTCCCAAGGAAACAACAATGACAGCACAGATTGATATGTTTTCTGGATTACTGAGGCCCACAAACTGCCATGGGATTGAGAGTCGAACCATTGTCACCACAGAACTAAAGGGTAAGTAGGGCCAATAATTAAAGTGTTATATTTCCTAATTAGAATATATCTGTATACTTGTAAAATTGCTCCAAAATCTTTGTATATATGTGTATTATTTCCCCTGATTAATATATACCTGTACACCAGTAAATCTACCTTGTAATCCTCTGAAACCTGTGTATTATCTCCCCTGATAGATATTTACTGGTACACTAGCAACTTACCTTGTAATTCTCTGACACCTGTGTATTATCTCCCCTGATTAATATTTACTGGTACACTGGCAACTTATCTTGTAATCCTCTGACACCTGTGTATTATCTCCCCTGATTGATATTTACTGGTACACTAGCAACTTACCTTGTAATCCTCTGACACCTGTGTATTATCTCCCCTGATTAATATTTACAGGTACACTAGCAACTTACCTTGTAATCCTCTGACACCTGTGTATTATCTCCCCTGATTAATATTTACTGGTACACTAGCAACTTACCTTGTAATCATTTGACACCTGTTGATGATCTCCCTTGATTCATCTAAAGCAGTATATAGGTCAATAGGTCAATATACCTTTTAATCATTGGACACCTCCTGGGACACCTGTTGGTTATATACCCTGATTAATCTGTACCAGTATATACGTAAACTTATCCCATAATCATAACCATCCATGTTGATTGTGTCCCCTGATCATCTTCTACTTATATAAAGATAAACTTACCTGATAGTCTTTGGATGCCTCTGTGTTGTCCCCATTGGCGGACAGTTGAGCAAGTTTTTCCTTGGACTTGCTATAGCGACGGATAAGGTAAATGACAACAACAGCCAGTAATATTCCAGCAATACATCCACAAAGGACAAAGGTCAGCACGAAGTACCGGTCATCTGGCGGCTTGACCTCAACTTGGTTCTGTAATATACAAGAAAACTGAATTGTTACTACAAAATAAAATTTATTTTGAAAAATGATATCTTATGGGAAAGATACAAGTCAAAATGAAATACTGAAAAACGAAACGTTTTTAATTAAAAATGAGTCCTTGAAAATCATTCACTACTTGATATAATTAAAGTCTTAATTACCAAAGCTGAATAAACATTTTTAGATTTTTTTGTTTGTTTTTAAAAATCTGAAAAGTGATGCGGAGGATTTTTATTTAATTTTCTATTCATATTCTTTCTATGAAGTGCTATTCTATAGCATAATTTGACACTTGCATCGTTTTACTAATCCCCAACCATCATGTCAATAATTTATATGAAAAACATCATCAAGAATTCAACATCCTGGCAGAATTGAAAAAACGAGATATAATTATCTCACAATAAAGTATAATGAGCATGTAAAACCACGAGATTTGGTGCGTTATGTTACTGTATCTCCATGATCTTGTGAATATTATCATTCTGTAGTGTGCTAACTGTTACCAGTGAAAGCCATAACTTTCTCATGTTCAAAAAAAACTTTTATCAGGCCTCCAGGAGATCTGATTCAAGTTGGCTCCATTGTGTTAAAATTATTGAGAAAAATATGGACTCAGCAATTCAAATTGATTCTCTAGAGAGCAATGGACCAGTTAGGGGCCAAATAAAGGAAGAAAATACTACAGCCTATTGTAATTCATTGTGAGACTTCACCAAGGAATCATCACTGTAGTGTTGCAGATATTGGCAATACTGACAGCTTCTTTACCTGGAAACAAAGCCAGCGTGTAATCATTGATCCTAGATTTTTGGGTGACATGTACATGTATATAACTATTTTTTCATTTTGAAAACAAGCAGTTGGATTTGGTTCGAAGCCATGTGCATCGTCAATGAAAGTAAAAGAAGACAATCACATCATCAGACCATTTTTTCTCTCACATTTGAAATAATCCCTTGACCCCACAAATTTCCCAAGTCTGAGTGCCTACAAGTGAGTTTTCCTTTATTCTGAACCTAATTCCCTTTTAAATTATTAGATATATTTCAGCAATTAAACAATAACAGCTTTCCACTAGACATCAAATTTATACTGCATCATTACCTAGGAGAAGTGGGTGTGGGGAGTGGTGAAATGAGAGGGGTGTGTGTGAAATAAGAGGGGTGTGTGGGGGGTGGTGAAGTGAGAGGGGGTGGGGGTTAATATAATCCTATCTCTGACTCAAATTTATGGGGTTGGTTTATTACATAACTTCATACCTAATAGTATTTGTAGGTAACATTACAGAACATTAAAATGGTTTATCACCAAGCACTATGTTGGACTCGTTGTTGACCCGTCACACTTTTCCATATTTCATTCTGCACAGAAACCTTATATTACCTTCATTTTCATATTTGATAAAAATCCCTTTTCTCCTTCAAAATTATTACAAACTTCCTTTTCAGAAAGTTGCCTTCAATAATGATGTTGAGTACTGTTCTCTGTACTATATTATATTATCCTGTTCTGACCGTTACTGTACCAATCTCAGATATCACAGCCTCCAAAGGTTAAATATATACTGAGCACATCATGTGAAAGATTATAGATGAAAGTAATCACCAACCTCATCAGGCATGATTTAGAGTCCGCGTCATAAAATAGAACCATTTTGTATCGACCATATCCATCAAAATACAATTTCAGTTCATCTTGTATGAAACAGCGTGAACATCATCATGTGTTTATGAGTTCTTCTTGTCCAATCATCTGCCATACTGCAGCACTCACATATTTACAATGTAACACTTTCAGTCCCCTTTATCTGTCGGATCAAACTCCCATCATACTGCAACTCCGAGGCCCACAATACCACGGCGGCCATTGATTGCTCTGTGTAAATATTATGTACTTTCAGCAAAAGCCTTTCATTCATTATCAACCAGGAAATGGGTTTTTTTTTATTGAAAGCTGAAATCAGTACTTAACTGGAAAATGAGAAATGGTTCTTTTCTACTGAAATTATCATTACAGGTCATTTGGAATTAAGCTCGAATCGAGATAGTTATTGTTTGATATAAACACTTGCTAAAGGATGTGACCCATACAAACATTTCTGTGACAGAGATCAGATGGATGTACATGTGACCGTGTGACATCACATTTTGTAATTACAACTCTTAATGAGGTGGAACGTGAACTTTCATCTCTTAGTTGCACAGGATTACCTCCCCCTGAAACTGTGTACCTGCACCAATCAATTTGTGTTTAAGTACCATCAGTTTTCTTTTGTTAGAGATGTCAATCAGATTTATGTGTATAATGCTAGGTGATTATGTTCTTGTTGTTATCAACAATGTAAAATAGTTGTTATTCTATCAAAATGAATACGTGATCATAATGCAGTTGATTAAATTCCTCACATTTCTGTGCATCAATTATCCTGTAAAATATTAATGCATTCCACAAAAGAAGCAGATTTTTCTTCATTTATAAATGCAGTCATGACTTTTTCAGAAATAAAGTTGATTCAGAAAATAATTTAATATTTTTAGGTTCTAATGATCAACATGACTCAAGAGTTTTACCACAAAAACAATCTGACCAGGCATTTTTAACAAACACATTAAGATACCTAACAGAAAGACTGAAAGTCATTCAATGATCAGATCTTAACCAAGATAACAATTTAGCATTGTTTTCCACACATATACACACACATGTGTACACACAGGTGCATATATTTATAGACTGACACTTCGCCCTGATATAGAATCCTGCCAAGTGTAACTGTATCTAATCGAATATCACCACGTATCCTGGGACCAATGATAATCCAGGCGGGCAGAGAATGATTAGATTATACCACATGTTGGCAGGATGGTTCCTCACACCACTGGTACCAATAGGTCACATGATATCATTTCTGCAGTTTAAATGAGAAAATTGAACTAGCAATGAACAAATGTGTCTAAAGAAAGTATAAGCTGACCAGAGAAAAGATCAGAATAAAGATCATGTATGACCTAATGACTGTGGACAGCCTGTAATGACTGAGAAAGAGGGACTGTGGACGGCCTGTAATGTCTGAGGTACTGTTGACAGCCTGCAATGTCTGAGAAAGAGGGACTGTGGACAGCCTGTAATGACTGAGGTACACAGACTGTGGATGGCCTGTAATGTCTGAGGTACTGTTGACAGCTTGTAATGAGTGAGGTACTGTTGACAGCCTGTAATGTCTGAGGTACTGTTGACAGCCTGTAATGTCTGAGGTACTGTTGACAGCCTGTAATGACTGAGGTACTGTTGACAGCTTGTAATGACTGAGGTACATAGACTATGGATGGCCTCTAATGTCTGAGGCACTGTTGACAGCTTGTAATGACCTGTAATGACTGAGGTACTGTTGACTGTAATGGTACTGTTGACAGCCTGTAATGACTGAGGTACTGTTGACAGCTTGTAATGTCTGAGGTACTGTTGACAGCCTGTAATGACTGAGGTACACAGACTGTTGATGGCCTGTAATGTCTGAGGTACTGTTGACAGCCTGTAATGACTGAGGTACACAGACTATGGATGGCCTGTAATGTCTGAGGCACTGTTGACAGCTTGTAATGACTGAGGTACTGTTGACAGCCTGTAATGACTGAGGTACACAGATTGTTGATGGCCTGTAATGTCTGAGGTACTGTTGACAGCCTGTAATGACTGAGGTACACAGACTGTTGACAGCCTGTAATGACTGAGGTACACAGACTGTTGACAGCCTGTAATGACTGAGGTACTGTTAACAGCCTGTAATGACTGAGGTACACAGACTGTGGATGACCTGTAATGTCTGAGGCACTATTGACAGCCTGTAATGACTGAGGTACTGTTAACAGCCTGTAATGTCTGAGGTACTGTTGACAGCCTGTGATGACAGAGGTACTGTTGACAGCCTGTAATGACTGAGGTACTGTTGACAGCCTGTAATGAGTGAGGTACTGTTGACAGCCTGTAATGACAGAGGTACTGTTGACAGCCTGTAATGACTGAGGTACTGTTGACAGCCTGTGATGACTGAGCTACTGTTGACAGCCTGTGATGACTGAGGTACTGTTGACAGCCTGTAATGACAGAGGTACTGTTGACAGCCTGTGATGACTGAGGTACTGTTGACAGCCTGTGATGACTGAGGTACTGTTGACAGCCTGTGATGACTGAGGTACTGTTGACAGCCTGTAATGACTGAGGTACTGTTGACAGCCTGTAATGACTGAGGTACTGTTGACAGCCTGTGATGACTGAGGTACTGTTGACAGCCTGTGATGACTGAGGTACTGTTGACAGCCTGTAATGACTGAGGTACTGTTGACAGCCTGTGATGACTGAGCTACTGTTGACAGCCTGTAATGACTGAGGTACTGTTGACAGCCTGTAATGACAGAGGTACTGTTGACAGCCTGTAATGACTGAGGTACTGTTGACAGCCTGTGATGACTGAGGTACTGTTGACAGCCTGTGATGACTGAGCTACTGTTGACAGCCTGTGATGACTGAGGTACTGTTGACAGCCTGTGATGACTGAGCTACTGTTGACAGCCTGTGATGACTGAGGTACTGTTGACAGCCTGTGATGACTGAGGTACTGTTGACAGCCTGTAATGACTGAGGTACTGTTGACAGCCTGTAATGACTGAGGTACTGTTGACAGCCTGTATTGACTGAGGTACTGTTGACAGCCTGTAATGACTGAGGTACTGCCTACTGCCTGGTAAGTGCTGTGTAACAAGGAGACCACACTGACAACAAAGAAATAATGTGTCCACAGAAGAAGCTGTGTAATCAATATAGTTATTCAATGCCTTTTATTTTGTTAATGACTGTCACACTGTCGCTTGCTGATGACCGTTGGTCAGGAAACTGGGGCCACGTCCTAATTATCATTATATGGACATGACAGGACAAATCACGCCGTCTTGATTCAGGCTGTGCCAAGTTTAGTTTTTGTGGAGTGT